TCATGAGACAAAATAAAAGGCCATGGCCTTTTAATATGGATTTTACAGAATTGCCTCTGAGGTGGCCTTCTATTTAGGGTGCCCTTCTAATATAGGGTGGCCTTCTATTTTGGGGGGGGGTTTATTTATATCCTCTTGTTCGCTGGTGAGAAAGTACATAAATTTAAATAAAACATTCCTAATTTATGGTGGTCATTTTCTATGGTTTTCTTTAATTGTGATTATAAATATACCTTTTCTTTTTGTGGTAGGAGAACTACGTCTAATGGTGTTACTTATTATTAATTAATTACTCTCTTTTTTTTCACCCGAAAAACAAGACGAAAAACTCGGAATTGTGCCAGTAATTCTCAATTTTCTCAATCAGAACTCAACTTCTGAGCAATACGAATATCATATTCAGAATCAGGATCAAAAACGGAGTCGCATGGTGTGTATTTCTATCTTATTCGACTACTTTCATATTTTTCAAATTTTCACATTGAAAAATTACCGATATTTTCAATCAAAAAGGAAAATCAAGTAAAAATTGCGAAATACATATCACGCGACTCCGTTTTTGATCCTGATTCTGAATATGATATTCGTATTGCTCAGAAGTTGAGTTCTGATTGAGAAAATTGAGAAATACTGGCAGAATTCCGAGTTTTTCGTCTCTGATTTAGAAAAAATGAATTTTCTCAGCAAGGAAAAATAATTTTTTAAAAAACGAACCGTACTTTTGAAGCTGAAGCACTAGCTAATTTGATGGTGATGGGCTCTAGGTCTTCAATCATTTGTGAATATTAGAACTAGTAGCACAAACAGAGAAGAGAGAAGATGTTAATCGTTATATCTGTTGATACTTCTACGGATACCCACCTGAAACCGATTAAAATCTTTTGAAATGATTTGTATCAGATTCAGCACTCTTTTTTACCTATTCTCTGCGAGTTTGAGCTGATCTGATCAAAATTTGGCGAAGATAGAAACCAGACCAGAGTTATATGAATTCTAAAGTTATTCATTTTTCCCGCTTCGGAAAAGAACATACGTTTCACCCATATGTACGCCTTTAATCAATACTTGAACTAAAAGTTTCTGATTCCATCAATACTAATCGAATAGTAATGAGAATAGCTTGACATGTGTAACTTAATATGATCTACAAAATGGTTGACTTGAAAATCCCAAATCCAATTGAAAAATTTTATGTTTTGGTTTCTAGAAACCTCACTTGGTTTCCCACTGGTTTGAAAAGATCCCGAAAATCCCATCATAGCTCATGATAGTATACATGGTGTACTCTAGCAGCATAATAGAGAGTGAGAGATTCGCCTCATTTTCCGGAAAAATGTATAGATCAATGACTGGGATTCCCGCGGCATCACCTACTGTCGCATCATTGAGCGTCCTTTATCAGTACAGGTCAAACATTTTGATGTTAATAATCCATGTGAATAGTCACAAAACTCCGTTTTACACAGTTTGAGATTATGAACCTGTGCTTTACAATCGGTGGTTAACCACCACTCACGGTAAACTCTAAAACCGTCTACCATTTCCTCTATAGGTTTCCAAATAATATCCCACGAACAATCAATACTTAAATCTGTTTGTGTTCCTATCGCTGATTCATCTAGATCCCATGACGGTGGGGATATCGATGAAATCGGAGGTAATAACTGAAGTCGTTATCGTATCAGCTTTTGCCAATTGTAAATTCAGAGGACTAGAGTTATTCATGGATGTTTCGTTATTTATTGTAATTGTGTTCGTAGAAAAATTCAAAAGTGGAACCGACGAAGGGATTCCATTTGCAACATTACTAGGACTACTAATATTTGTAGCCGTAGCTGAAGTCAAATTAATCTGCTCCGTATCACGTACTTGTTTATTTAGGACCCGTATTGGTTCAGCAGGATCTTTTCGAACTATAGTACTATCATCATTATGCGATGTAGTCGATATTATCCCTGTCTGAGTTGGTGTTTTAATGAATTCAGTTAATTCATTATTATATCCACCTTTATCATGACCCTGATTTATATTCATAATAATTGGTTTCTAAATAAACAAGTCATGGTCGTTAGCATGAAGTCAAAGCAAAATGCTCGAAATAGCTCAAAAACCAAATTTCAAATATTTTATTAACCGGTTTTTAGGCATTTCATTTGATCAGAAAGTTCAGGGAGGTCTCATTTTGTTCAGAATTCACTTCTCTATCGATCCAGGCTATTTCCAAAAAGGTTTTCTATAGACCCGATCTCTAGAAAACCCTTTGGAAGGCTTTTAATAATTCTGAAATCGCTTTTAATGGATTTATCGTCATTCTTGACCTAAAACCAAATTTTCATTGATCTCGAGTGAAAAGTGGATGCATTATAGACAAATCAGGCGCCCGATTTGCTGCGAAAAGAGGAGGGTCCAGAAAAAGTACACTATCCTAGAAAAGAAAGAAAAGTTTTTAAAAAGCATGCATAACGTTTTTCGCTACCATCTGACGATTACAACCATGCAAAAATATTGGCATTTGCTCTTTTCTAAATTGAGTTGAAACTTTTGGCGCAAGACGATGTGGGATTTTTGCGCTTTTCACAAAATTTGAAAATTTGACCGTCAAAATCCTGTCCAAAACTTTTCAAACACACTTTTCCTAACCCAGTTTTCAACATAGATTTCGAATAAAAAGCTGAAACTCTAAGACATATATTCGAAATCAGCAAAAACTGTGCCGAACCATGTACAAAAATCAAAAATATAGAAAGTGCTGATCTTTTGAATTTCTTTAACCTGATATATATTTTTTACAACAAGATAACATTAACATTTGTTTTAACGTTTGGTAAATGTTACCTATAA